AGTTTTCTACCGCCACATCATTACCATTTAAGAAAAGATCCACCCATATTTCAAATAGAAAGCAATCCAAACTTGGTGCCTCCAACAAATGCCTATGGCAGTTCATCTGTCAGTTGACTCCCCCAACAACTTTGGAAGAGTCACATGACCTGAGACCTTGCCTTTCTTTTCTACTGTACGAGGGGAAACATTCAATGTACTGGTCACCTTCTGGGAATTTGTATTGAACTGTGATGTCTTCACGGGTGTTCTTCCCAACTGCTTTGGTGCTGATGCTCTTCCCAATCACTTTGGTCTCTTCACGCAGCTTGACATATTTGCTTTCATCATCCACATCCTTTACAAGCCAAAAGATCCTGTCTGCATTCACTTCAGCAAACACAAACTTGGAGTCATAGGGAAGATAGACTTCTCCCTTTCTGATTCCATTTACTGGACAGGGGCCACACTGAAAAATCCCTGTGGAAAAGATTAAACGTTAATTTTTGTTCTTACTATATCTACGCCAACTGCACAGTCTTCACATGAACGTATTTGTGACCAGTAATTGTGTATGTTTATGGAAATATCTGGGATGTACAACTTTTAACAAGGAAGTCCTAATTGGATTACAATGTGGACTAGATGTAGACTCTAATAATCTCATGGACTAATGGTAGGGTTGCCAGCTCCAGGTTGGGAAATACCTGGAGATTTGGGGGGAGGAGCCTGAGGAGGGTGGGGTTTGGGGAGGGGAGGGACTTCATTGGGGTAGAGTGCCACAGAGTCTACCTTCTAAAGTGGCCATTTTCTTCAGGCGAACTGATCTCTGTCACCTGGAGATCAGTTGTAATCTCAGGAGATCTCCAGCTCCCACCTGGAGACTGGCAACCATAATTAATGGTGACTGGACTCCTATCAGTTTTATCATAATGGCCAACTTGGATTTTCAACTGCATATCATAATGCCTTTGAACATCGTTGTATAGTACTCATAGGTTATTTTATTATTACACATCTCATAGGTTTTGTGGTGATTTCAGTTATTAGTATTTTGACTTTATTGTCCTATGGGATACCTATCCCCACTCCCGTTCTTTTCCCTTTAATTCTGTTCATTGTGGTTTGGCTGTAATTTTGAATTCTTACACACACACACACACACACACGCACACACAGAGAGAGAGAGTTTATGTTTTAAGAGTCTCCCTTCCAAAGACAACATTTAAACTACATCAAAGATGGTGTATACAAATGTTATGTGAGAAGTTATGGCGGTCAAACCAACCTATGGGCTTAGCCTCTCACAATAGGTTTCCTCACAGGAAATACAGTGCTGACCTCCTTTGGCTGTATTGGGCCTATTCATATTTTAGGTGGAGGAGTCTGTGGCAGAAGCTAACTTTCTACTCTGAGTGTTCAAATGAGATGCCTTTGGCATGATAAAAGCATTAGCTACTACATAATGAAAAACAATGTAATTCAGTTGATTCTCTGGATGTGACTGCTAGAACTCTTACCACACCCGGGGGGTGGGGGGTGGGTGGCTTCTACGTTCTTGATAGTGAGGAAGGAGAGTCAGTTTGTGATGATACTTTCAGTTCAAATTTTCCCACTTCCACAAATGGAAATACTGTTCTATCGCTGGAACTGTATGGTTGTCTGTTTTCACACTTTAACAAAATGTCTGACTTGGGGGAATCTCTTCTCTCTGAGAAAAGATGTGTAAGCTATCCTCCAATGGGAGAGAATGACTTCCATTCTATGTGGGGAAATCTGCAAATCCCTATGTTGGATATGAGAGAGTGCAAAATTAGGGTCAAGCTGCCACATTCCCCCGTCCCCATCTTCATCCTAATCCTCACAAGGGGATAGAACTGTGAGAACATGTTGTCCTAGGAGAAATAGCCCAGCAGTTCCTCTGTTAATATACAAAGATGGGTGTGAAGAGAAGCTGTCCCAGAACTTAAGGTGCCTACTGTGCCCTCTAAATCTACGACTAATCAACTGCCTGAGTCCAAAGGGACCAGAGAGCAAGGATTAAACTCTCCACAAAGCTCTGCTTTTGGTGTTTGTTCATTTTTCCCCCAGATTTCATGTCTTTACAATACACAGGATGGAATTATGGGTTGCCTGTGTCCTTGGATGCTGGTTGCTATGAATTATTCCCCCGTTCAGGGGACATTAATGACATTCCCTTCCTCACATTCACCTTTCACCCTGCCCCTTACTTTGGTCCCCTGACATTCTGGGTTAAATTCAAGTTTGTTTATTTATTTGCAAAATTTATACCCCACCTTTCTGCCCTCATCAGGACCCCCAAGGCAGCTAACATACGTAATAAAGCCATGTCTTTAAAACCAAATAAAAACACACCATTTAAGCAATTAAAACCAAAGCTAAAATACACATACAAAAACATAAAAAACAACAGTTGTCTCCTCCTACCCATCCCCCCCAGTCCCTCAAATGATCAGTAATCCCCACACTTCTTTTGCATGTTCGCTTCTGGTAGCCATGGTTGCAATTCCCAGCCTAGTAGCCATGGTCAGGAATCCCGCTTCCATCTCTATAGAAACTGACTGTGCAGACAGGCAGTTGGGCAAACAGAAGCAGCGGGAAGAGAGTCTCATTCCACAACCAGCAAAGCCACGCTGAGCATAATCTGCCAACAGTGACATATCTCACACTGTTTTCTGGCACTTTTGAATGTGGAGAAGCCATAAACATGAAATGGCTATTATGCTGCAAGCAATACTAAATGGCTTTCCTTTGTATGGACTGCACTGATTTGGCCCCACTTCATCTAAAATGGAGATTAGTGTACTGATCCTGGCTACGTTCCAACAAACTCCAAATAAGCCAAGATGCCCATGAACACGGCTTATGATCATGCTCACACAGGAGGGTCTTCCCTTCTCTCTCTACGTTTCTTCAGTGGAATGTCAGCAAGGATCCCTGGACTAAAACAGACCCCGTTGTCCCATGGTGTGAGCATGTAGGTGAATCAGAGTTCATTTACTTCCCCATGAACCAGGCTTTTCAACTATGGTTTAATCTAGGTGGAGGAACCCAATTTGGGGAGATTAAACAATCCCTCATTTTCTGAAGGTGAGCAGTGATTCACGAAAGCGCCTACCCTCCCACCTATTTTGTTAGTCTTTAAGGTGCTACTGGACTCTTGCACTCATTTTCCTGGTCACCTGTATTCATCCTTCATAGTGACTGGGAGTTTGTTTCAAATCAGAAATTGTGATTAAGCTTAGAAGGGCGGCGGAGAGGAGTGAGATATGCATGCACGTGCAGCAACAAGCTGAACGACACTGGTCTATTTGGGAAAAGGAGGCGTCTGACACTGGGAGGTAGTGCTTGTGGCTTGGCAATCTGGAGGAATCAAGACCCCATCATTGTGGAAGTTCAATTGCAAGGTGGGTTTTATTTTATGGGCAACATAAATGTGCCTTCAAGGCCAGTTTAGCCTTCACAATTCACAACCACCAGGGCCCAGGCTATGGGGGTCTGCATGACCTACCACCACAGGGGTCTCTCTAGCACAAGCAGGTATCATGTGGTATGAACCCTCCCCCCCCCCTCACAGTTTAGCATTACAGTGCCAGATAACAAGACACAGGGCTTTTCTGCATGCTCGTTTCTCTTGCTTGCGTGTTCTTGTTGCTTCAGGGTTTTTTTTCCAGTTCTGCATGTGTTTTGCTCCATCTAGTGGCCAATTCTTTATTTCCCTGCAGATTTAAACTGCAGGTTGAAAGCCAGACATACAGTGATGTAACATCGAATTGACCACTAGAGGGAGCAGAACACAGGCAGAACAGAATGCCCCCCCAAGCAATAGGAGCTCACAAGAGAGGAGAATGAGAGAGCAGAAGATCATGCAGAAAGGATGTCATCCTTCCTCCTTCTGTTGTAGTTCTTTCTATATACAGTACATCTGGCCTTTAAAAAGAATCTCAAGAGAGAAATGTGTGGTTACACATTAAAGGTAAAGGTTCCCTTGCTCGAAAGCCAGTCGAATCCGACTCTAGGGTTGCAGTGCTCATGTCCGTTTCAAAGCCGAAGAGCCAGCGCTGTCCGAAGACGTTTCCGTGGTCATGTGGCCGGCATGACTAAACACCAAGGTGCACGGAACGCTGTTACCTTCCCACCGAAGTGGTACCTATTTATCTACTTGCAATTTCTTGCTTTCGAACTGCTAGGTTGGCAAGAGCTGGAACTAGAGACACATGCGGCACACTCGGGCCTCGAACTGCTGAACTACCGACCTTCCACAGCCTGCAGTTCAGCGTCTTAACCACTTGAGCCACCACAGCTCAACAATTATTTACAATAAGTAAATAATAAATCAATCAATACAAACAGAAATGCCATTCTGTCAGGCAAACTACTTAAATGGTCAGAAATCGAAGCGGCCTGGCCCAGAATGCCTGAGTCTACCACATCCCCCTTGTCCATCACAGAATTCAAGTCTTCATCTGTCTCTATCTAATTCATGGAAGCAGACTCTATTATACAAATCTGCATATATTAGTAAAACTTTGCAGAGGATCAAATTTGTGTTTCAGTGGCATAGATCTGGCACCCTCTTTTCTTCTATGGCCCCCACATACCCTTCCCTGCCCTGCTGTGCGGGGACAGCAGTGTGACCAGCAAGCTTTTTTAAAAATAATTTTAATTATATAGCAATTGTATTTTTAAATGTCTAAAATACTGCCAATTGCCCAGAGCCTGCTCCGCAGGGTGGGCAATTCATAAGTTTAATAAAGTAAAATAAAGAAATAAACGTACAGGGCTTGATTTCTTTCCTACCTGGACCAATTTAACCACAGGTGTTTCCCTGTCTTCTGCTTCAGTCTTACCTTGGCTCTGTTCTTGAGGAGTGGCATCAATCGCCTGCCAGCCATCGAAGCCTTTGGGCAAGTCTGGCCTTTTCATCCAAGCCTCGTTCCAGACATGAAAGTTCCTGTGCACAGGTAGGTTTCAGAATTGGAAGTGAAAAGAAAGTTATCCTCTATTGCAATTTCACATATGTATTAGACTATACAGCAAGTTCCAAAGAATAACTTGTCCCTGAATTTGACTTCTTAGAGCAAATGATGTGGAGGGGGCTGTTCCTGGAGACCTTTGGCAAACAAAACACCTGCTCTGTCACTAAGCTCGGTCTCCCCCCCACACATATTAAACGCCTTTGAAAAAGAGCCATTTGGTTCCTAAAGAGCTTGTGGCAGAGATGTTGTCATACAGAGAAGAAGCACAAGGAGGCCTGACTTCCATTCTGGGCTACAGCTACAATACGGTGACAAGTAAAGCCATTAGCGATCCGCTGTTGGGTAGGGATGCCCCAGGACTGAGGAGAGAACAGTGGTTTGTGCTTTTGACTGACTGAAGGAAGAAGCCATGCCTTGTATGCTGCTTGGTGGAACATGGGCACGGTGTGCTTTCCGTGTTGTTTGAAGCTAAAGGTTTTCCAAAATGTATGAACATGTAAAACAGATAAAGTGTTCCCCATGTACACCAGGGCAAGCAGATGATTTCTCCTCCCAGTCTGGTACCCGTCTAGAGATCTTCAGGAGTGGTTTCTTGAGGGAAAGTGGAAGGAAAGGAAGCTCTGAGAAGCCCCAGGAACCCTTTGGATTCTGACTCGTGTGGATGGCAGGACGAAAGCGCAGCACTTTAGGCAGGGCTCTTTTTGTAGATAAAGCCCAGCAGGAACTCATTAGCATAATAGGCCACACCCAACAGCAGAAAGTCAGGCCACACCCATGACAGCACAGCTCATTGGCATATTAGGCCACACCCCCATGTTACCAGAAGTGTGCTCATCCAGCCACACCCACCTTTTGCTTCTTATTCTGCTTACCTTGTTTGTTGTCAAAACCCAGGGCCTTTTTTGTAGCAGGAACTCCTTTGCATGTTAGGCCACACACCCCTAATGTAGCCAATCCTAATGAGTTTCTGCTGTTGGGTGTGGCCTATTATGCTAATGAGTTCCTGCTGGGTGTGGCCAACTTGGAAGCCAGCCGGAATTCCGTTCCTGTGCATTCCTGCCCCCAAAATAGCCCTGACTTTAGGGATGTAGAACTGTAATGGTCATTTCTGATCTTAAAATACCCTGAAAGTACCGGGGCATAGCCTTTTCCTGACATAGAAATATCCACTTAGTTATGATGACCTGGCTCCACTAAGTTTTTGCACAGTGAGAAAGAGAACGGGGTGCAGGTGATCATATTAAATGGAATGCTATAGATATAGGGTTGCCACCCGCCAGGTGGAGCCTGGAGATCCCCCAGAATTACAGCTGATCTCCAGCTGACAGAGATCAATTCTACTGGAGAAAATGGCTGCGTTGCAGGGTGGACTCTGTGGCATCAAACCCCATTGAGGTCCCTCCTCTCCCCAAACGCTGCCTTCCCCAGGCTCCACCCTGAAAGTCTCCAGGAATTTTGCCACCTGGAGCTGACAACCTTACAAATACATGTCCTCACAAACCCAACCACTGGCTTAAATCAAACCTCGAATTAATGCAAGCACTGGGGTGGGGAGTGATTTTCACAAGTTCCCCCCTTCATACAAGAGGCCGCTGACTCCTCTGTGCCCCACAAGCAGTATTTGGGGGGTTTATGGGCAGTGTTCCCTCTAAGCTGAGTTAGTGTGAGCTAGCTCAGGGTTTTTTAGCCTCTGGCTCACCCATTTTTGTCTTAGCTCAGGGAGGATGGCTCCAGAGCAAACTGATTTCTGCAGTAGCCCAAATTGCTCGCTCACAACTTTATGGCCAGTAGCTCACAAAGTAGAACTTTTGCTCACAAGACTCCACAGTTTAGAAGGAGCATTGCTTATGGGGCTGCTCTGGGAGGGGGAATTGGCGAAAATCCCCACCTGCCACCTGTGAAAATTCTAAGTGGGATCCAAGCCATTATATTTCCCCATGAATAAGAATTTAAGAAAAAAGATTAGTTCAGTTGTATATAGTGATTACCAGATAGAGTCTAATGTTAATTCCTCTACTTTTTCTCCCTTTTCGTTCAAATAGATGTCGACCTTTAGGTTTTCCTCTGTATCGTGAGCGGAAGCGAAGTTGCTCACGCTTCTGGCTGGGATCCCCAGACTTCTCATGACTGAAATACAGATAAAAGGTATCAACTCTCAATCATGCACTTGCCCTTTAGCTACATGCCCATTGTTCATTACACCCTATAATTCCATCACGAGGCTGCATAAGGGATGAGACGTGGTATGAAAGGGACTGGGTTTTATGCCCAGTTCCCACGAATGGAAGAACATAAGAGCAGCCATGGTGGATTAGACCAATGGTACATCTAGTCCAGTGCCCTTTGCCACAGTTGAGAACCAGGTCACCTGGAAGCACTACACCAGCTATGGAATTCAGAGAGTTACCGCCTCTAACGATGGAGTCATCGTGGCCAATAGCAATCAATGGACCTGTCCATGAGATTCAGTGGACTGGAGTACCCACAACACAGTAACTGTTGGAATGAGTTTGATGGCCCTGCAGTGCCACAACTTTAGAAGGTCCTCAACCATCAGAATAGTAGAAGTCCATCTAGTCCAGCATCCCATTGTGCTTAATGGCTAACCAGGTGTCCCTGGAAGGCCTATGAGCAGGGCAGGAAGGCAATAGGTAAAGGTAAAGGTTCCCTTGCTCGAAAGCCAGTCAAATCCGACTCTAGGGTTGCGGTGCTCATCTCCGTTTCAAAGCCAAAGAGCCAGCGCTGTCCAAAGATGTTTCCGTGGTCATGTGGCCGGCATGACTAAACACCAAGGCGCATGGAACGCTGTTACCTTCCCACCGAAGTAGTACCTATTTATCTACTTGCAATTTCTTGCTTTCGAACTGCTAGGTTGGTAGGAGCTGGACCTAGAGACGGGAGCTCACTCCGTCATGCGGCACCCGGGTCTCGAACTGCTGAACTACTGACCTTCCACAGCCTGCAGTTCAGCGTCTTAACCACTTGAGACACTGCAGCTCCTTACCCTATTGGATGTCTCCTGTACCTGGTATTCAGATGGATACTGACTCTCACCATCGATCTGTTTAGCTCACAGAACAGGTAGGCTACCTCTAAAATGCATGTCCTACCTGTAGTAAGCACTCCGGAGAAAACCCAGCACTGACCGAAGTTGACAGTTCTTTTGGTTTTGTAATACTGCTGCAAAATTGGGGCACTTCCAGTCCAGGCCAGTGGAGAAGTACCACCAGCATAGCGTCCCGACCAGTTCCCAAAGAGCACTCCTGCGTCATCGTTGGCATTAACCTAAAAACAGACACTCTTCAGAAGAACAAAGCCAAAGAAAATGAAGCCAGGTAGCTTGACCACTGCCGAAACATCAGTTGATGGATGCTTCTCTGCCTCCCCAGCAAACATCACAGTGGGCCTTCAATTCCCAAAGCAAAAAACAAAAGAAGTGTTTACTATTCAAATAAGATGGGGAATGAATTGCAATTTGGGGAGTTATAATTCTGAATCTGAAAGGTCAAGATCAGAAAACATTTTTGTATAACGAGAGTGGTTGGTGTAATGATTAAGTGACTCCATAGCCATGGATCAGTGCTATAGTTCCCCAGGATCCATCCATGATATACATCCCGCACATAATAATTTGGTTGACATCCTGCACTCAGATTGCCCAGCAATTGCAGAATAAGTCTCTCTAATCTTGACTACCTGCAGATAATACCTGTCCAGGCCCGTAGCCAGGATTTTTTACGTCGGGGGGCCTTTACATTTCTTGGGGGGCACTGGCTAATCGAATTAAAGGAATACCTGGCTCCTTCCCCACACCTGCCACCGCTTGGGGGCCCTGGGTTGGATGGGAAGTCATGGGGCCTTGCCAGTAACTCAGGGGGCCTAGCCCTGAGATGCCCCACTGTAGCTACGGGCCTGTACCTGTCTATTCTTAGCCCTTTCCTCTGTATTTGACTGTGTGTAGGACAAGGGGGAGGCAATTGGTGAGATGCAGAACATTACTATGCTACAGCCTTGATGTTTGGGACTGTGCACTCAGATGGTTGCATGCTGGCTAGTATGCTTGGGAAGCCCTTCCTCACACCGCACCAAGGACGTGGTCTGCACTATCAGTAGCTGATCAGCAGTCCCCGGGAGAGTGTTACGCTCTGCAGACAACAACTTACTGATGATCCCTAAGCCCAAAGAGCTCTGGCTGTCCCTGACCAGGGTCAGGGCCTTTTCGGTCCTGGCCCCAACCTGGTGGAACTCTCTGCCTCCTACAGTCAAAGCCCCGCAGGACCTTATGCAAGGCAGAGATGTTCCACCAGGCTTTTGGTTAGGACAGCGATGGTTTTCCAGCATGGCTGGCCCCCCCCCCCCAATAATAAAGGTAAAGATTCCCTTGCTCGAAAGCCAGTCGAATCCGACTCTAGGGTTGCGGTGCTCATCTCCGTTTCAAAGCCGAAGAGCCAGCGCTGTCCGAAGACGTTTCCGTGGTCATGTGGCCGGCATGACTAAACACTAAGGCGCATGGAACGCTGTTACCTTCCCACCAAAGTGGTACCTATTTATCTACTTGCAATTTCTTGCTTTCGACCAATTTTTTTCCAGAACTCCAGTCTTTCAATTGCTATAGTTGCTAGTGACGCCATCTTATATTTGAATCTGTTTTTAATATTATTAACCTTAGGATATCGGATGTTTTTACACTGTTTCTAAGGCTTAACACCATGTTGTAAATCACCCAGAGCCCAGCGCAAGTCGGGATGGGGTGATTGATAAGTCTAACGCATAAATAAATAAATAATCCAGCACTCATTCCAAAATGTGCTTCACCCATGATGAGACAAACTGCAGTCTTCGGATCATGACTGATTATCTCACAGAAGAAGACACTCCTGCCCTCCCCGCTCAAGGAGCTGTGGCTCAGTGGCAGAACATCTGCTTGGCATGCAGAAGGTCCCAGGTTCGGTCCTCGGTATCGCTATTAAAAGGCTGACATGGCAGGAGATGTGACACGCCTCTGCCCCGAGACTCTGGAGAGCCGCCGCCAGTCTCAATATACAATACTGACCTCGATGGACCTAGGGTCTGATTCGGTGTAACGTAGCTTCGTGTGTTCACCTGAGCTTGCCTTGAGGGCAGTCCTGCACCCGAGTACCCTTTCACACCGCTTTACTGGGCAATTCTTTAGCTTCATTCCCAGATCAGTATCAGAAAGCAAAGCGAGTCTGTAGGGCCAATCCCAGTGGCAAGGAGAGTGCTTCTATTCTTCCCTCGCAAAATCTGGATGGACTTGGTCTTGTGGGTCAGACTCAGGGCAGTCGCTAGGCTTCCCCACTAGGTGGGGCTACAGCATTTCCAATCTGCATTGGGGGGGGTAGTGATGTCATCATGACCGGGACTCAGGCTGATTAAGTGGGCCACCCCTTTCCCCTTTCAGCACCTTGCCATTTTCATAACTTAAGAGGGGTTTTCTTTGTTGCTAGAATATTTCTTGTTCTAAAAACAACTCTGTTCCTTAAATGAAAGCTGCTGTGGCCTAAATGAAAAGCGTTTTTAATAATAATAAGAACAAGAACAGCAAGAACATTAATCCTAGGAGAAGGGGGAAAGTGTTCTCGCTAGACAGTGCATTCCTTGGCCCTGCCCTTGCCACAGTTCGGGCCTGTCCCTGTCCGCTTCTCAGCAACATTTAAACGCTCATATTAGGAGGGACACTGTGGTCTCAACACATAGAATATCTAGGACTATACAGCACATGGTGTGCAAAGACACACAGATGCATTTAAATATGACTTCCTGCACATGAAACGTCTACACTGAGAAGAGATTTCCTATGACAGCTGTAACCAGGGAGTTGTGAGTGGCTTGGGGCAGAATAATTGCCTTCTCTGTGAACTAACAGGGAGGGATCTGAACCAAACCATTGCCCAAGGCCCATACCAAAGCAGACATCCTCCTGGAGATGACAACAGGGTCCTTTCTAACATTCAGCTTGAGCTGGCTTTTGTCCAGAAGGTAGATGCAGCAGTCCAAGACGTTTTCTTCAAACTGTGTGCATGTGAGGGAAGCAGAATTAGTAAGAAGCAAAGTTTGTTCATTCTTCAAGACAAGTTTATTTATTTCTTATTTATTTCATTAGTAAGTAAACAGTAAGGGGCTGTTGAGGTTCAGGGCAATTTTTGGGCAGGAACGCACAGGAACGGAGTTCCGGCTGGCTTCCAAGTTGGCCACACCCAGCAGGAACTCATTAGGATAATAGGCCACACCCAACAGCAGAAACTCATTAGGACTGGCTACATTAGGGGTATGTGGCCTAACATGCAAAGGAGTTCCTGCTATAAAAAAATCCCTGGGTTTTGACAACAAACAAGGTAAACAGAATAAGAAGCAAAAGGTGAGTGTGTCTGGATGACCACACTTCTGCGAACATGGGGTGTGTGGCCTAATATGCTAATGAGCTGTGCTGTCAGGGGTGTGTCCTAATAAGCAAATGAATTTCTGCTGTTGGGTGTGGCCTATTATGCTAATGAGTTCCTGCTGGGCTTTTTCTACAAAAAAAGCCCTGTTGAGGTTTAAATTCTGACAGGACCAAAGAGGGGAAAGAAACTTAACCCAATTAAATTGAATCAAGAACCAAAAAGGTAAAGAAAAAACCCTGGTGGAGGGCTAATAGTTAAAACCTCATGTAAATTTATTATAAGTAAAAAGTTGAGAAAAGTTTAAAAACATACGGGCCAAATGGAAGCCTCGTCAGCAATTACAAATGACAAGTATACAAGGAACAGTTATTGTGACCTAACGTGTTTCGGCCCAATCAGCCCTTCTTCAGAGGTCAAATAATATGAGGTACATATAGGCACATGTTGCAAAGAAATAACAGAGAATATGTCAATACTGGACCAAAAAAGGGACGCTCCAAAACAAAATTAATAGACACAGGGCAGGAATGTTTATGAGGCCTCTGTCCAGTGCATATGCACAGGTGGTAAATCATGTTACTTTTGTGTGTCTTCCAATTGTGGTCCAGAAAGTAATGATGCAACCAATTAGTGTGAGCCAAAATGTCCTCAATAGAAAGCAGGTTTAAATTCTTCCTATTAAGAAACACCTTCTGTTAAACTCTTATTAGGAAGTGTTTTGTTGCTTTGAAACACAAACATCTCTAAGACCAATGCTGGTAGCTACAGGAACTGTTCTGTGTAGACAGCATCCTCTTTGGTCGTGACCAGGGCTCTCTTCTTATATGTAAATACAGTAATATTTAGGACATTTTCCTCTGACAATGGACAACTATGTGCCAGTAAGCTACTGCCACCAAGTGGTAGGATGCTGGAGCATTTTTTTTTCTTTTCACCACTTTGCTATATTTGATCTGACAGGCCCCAGGGAGTGTTGGGAGACCAATGCCAATCGTTTGCTCACAAGATATTTGTGACTGCACACATTACTGTGCTGCCATTGTCACATCATTGTTACTCAAGGAACAAAGTTTTACGAATAAGGAAGGAATTCTTTAGATGGATGGTAGCCTTCAACTTCTCATAAACTACCTTAATTCTTAGGGTTGCCAGGTCTGGGTTGGAAAATACCTGGAGACTTTGGGGGTGGAGCCAGGAGACGGTGGGGTTTGGAGAGGGGAGGGGCCTCAGCAGGGTACAATGCCACAGAGTTCACCCTTCAAAGCAGCCATTTTCTCCAGGGGAGCTGATCTCTGCCAGCTGGAGATCAGTTGTAAAAGCCCCAGGCCCCACCTGGAGGCTGGCCACCCTATTAATTCTTGATTTACATCAAGAGAAGCAGTGAGCTACTTGATTGTCCAAAGCCAATCCATGCTGACATCGGCTTTCTCAGGTCCAAGCCCAACTGCTTGCACATTGCACTATGTGGGCTGCTTCCACACGGAGCTCTTGCTCCTCCTCCTCCTTCAAACCTCAGCAGGCTGTATTTGGGCTTTCGCGTGACATTCATAGTGCTTCTATCAGCCTCCTGGGCTTTCTCTGGCTCTGCTGAGGGTCTCCCCAAACCTGCTTTGGTACAATCTTTATGGAAACCTTCCACACCTTTCAGGAAATCCTAACCTACCGATCTACACTGTCTCCAATCCTGCTTTTCGAACAAAGTTTCAGGAAAGATGGTATAAAAAGTAAGTTTGGAGAAAGTGTGGATGGGAAGATCTGTATTTCCTTGCCTCTCTGCCCACATCCTTTCCTTTCCTTTCCTCCCCCCCTCCCCCCCGTAATTTAACAGCCAACAAGTCATACGTCAAAACATTTTATAAGTGCCTTGTCACTGCATAGATGAATATGGCTAAGTCACACCTTTTCCCCACCTGCCTGTCATTCCCTCCCCACCTCAACTCCTGTGGGATTCTTGCTAGTTACAAAAAATTGGTAGTAGGTATATCATTACAGCCTTAAAACATAGCAATCTATGTGCTATGATTTTTTTAAAGACAGAAAGTCTGCTGGCAGTGAAGGGGAGAGAAATGGCTGGTGGGTTAGGAAAGCACGGGGTGGGGGGGAATCTTGTGCAGAAGTTGCAGTACCACCGCAAATGCCTTTGCAAATGCCTTTGCATTCATAGGGGCAAAGAGTGGGAAACGAGGAATTGATCCCGTGCGGAAGTAGCCTTGGACTTCTGCAGATGTGGACCAACAGGTACCATTCTGTTTCACCAGTGGATGAAGCAAAATCTATCACCTGACCAATTTATCCATCTAAGATTCACGTTTATTTCACAAAACCAAATAACAACACTTGCTTACAATTAATATATGCTTACAAGAAATATGTGGTTTTTGTTTTTACCTGCCCAAAATTCCAAGGTCTTCCATGTATATTTTTTGTTGATCCAACATAGATATAGCCAGTGTCATTGAGCACATACTCGGCTCTTTCAGCCTCGTCAGGCATGAAAACAGAGTCAGCTAAAAGCAAAGGCATGAGAACATCACTGGCTTTGTCCGTCAACTGACAGATATAGTCTGGCTGGAGAGAGACATTCTCACGACAATGCCTGCCGTTGTGGCTGCCAGAGAGCCAGGGGCTGTGGCAGAAATACAGGTAAGACTAATGGACTCAAAACCAAACGGGCTCTTGGAAACGATCAGCTTGTGTCCCCGGCTCCCCTGTTATAGATGCAGATAAGAAGGCAGTGGCCACTGTACCAAGACACTAGCTGCTGTTACCATATGTTACAATCAACGGGGCTAGTTTCCCAGCCGGGAGACCTGTTAGTGACTTATATTTGTTTTCTAATGTTATTCTGATTACCAAGTCTTACATTTCTTCTTGTTGCAGGGCTCACCTACATGGTATGTTGGGATTTGTGGTCCTTACATGCGGCTTAGACTTTAAAAGCAGCCATGAGAAGAGGGGCATTTGAATCAAGGCCGTTTCCCAGATCAAAACAACTCCTGCCCTTAACCTGCTATTAGCCCCAGTAAAAGGGGGGGGGGACAGGCAGACAAAGAGACAAGGCCTCTGATAGTAACATTAGCCCCATTGTATTTGGGCTAATAGTAACATGGGATGGAGGGTAGTTCTAGTCAGGGGAATCGTACAGAAAGAAAGAAATACCTCCCCTTCCCAGCACTATGGCCAGGGCCGGCCCCAGCTTATTTTGCACCCTAGGCGAGGATCCGTTCTGGCGCCCCCCCCCCCCGGTGTGCCCACCAGGGCACCCGGAGAAGAGGCTGACTAGTGGGGCACTCACAAGCCATCGCTCCCCCAGCCCTGCTGCTGCTGCTGCTGCAGCTGCCAGTCCCCAACCATGAGGAAGAGGAGGAGGAGGAAAAGCACTCCACTGGGAAGCCAAGGGGGCAGGCAGGGAGAAGTTAGCCAGCCAAAGAGGCGGGGGCGGGGGGCACCCGGCCGCGGAAATGCAAGGTGTTTGGCGGGGGGCTTTTGGCGAGGGGGCAGGTGCAGTTTGGTGCCCCTAAGGGCCGGCGCGCTCTAGGCAAATGCCTAGTTTGCCTAGTGAGCGAGCCGGCCCTGATTATGGCATCCATGTAAATCTGGGACACCCAACTACATGCTGGATGATCCAAGCACACATTCCCAGTGTCACATGTAGTTCTGTAATCATGTGACCTCTAATACAGAAATGACTCTGTAGGGTTCCCCTCAATCCATGACTTTGTGAAAGACCACTTACCCCAATGGTTCTCAAAGGTTTTGAAGTGGAATTCACTTCTAAATTTACTTTGCCTTTTGGAACCCAACGCCATAATGCCATCTGTTGAGAGAGTCATTACCCACCGCTTGAGCACCACTGGCCTAACCTATTCCTCATGCATATGGCTCACCACAGTGGAAAAGGCACCAAGCACCAGTCTCCGGAAAACCATAAAAGAGGCACAGAAAATGTACTCAGCCGACCCAGTGGTCAAGATTCGAATGCGTTTCAAGGACCGTAGCCCTTCTTTAGAGGAATGCTATTCATCAAGAGTAGCTACAAGTGAAATTTACAGCTAGGCATCACTGCCTTACAGCCAAACAGTCTATTAAGGCTTCAATAAAGCTGGTCAAAAAGATGGCCAGGAGGCAAAACAACTCAGGTGAGAAGCTTTCTTTATTACACACTAATTTTTCATGTCCACTTTCAGCATATGATAGCGATTCCCTGAAGGTTGGGAAAGGCTGTGCCGTGTGATATTTCTGAACATAGTTCAGCTCTTATAAGGGAACTCATTCAATTGAGCTCTTTAGAAATTGTTGGAGTAAGGGTGAGGCAGTTACTCTCCTCAGGAAATGGCTTCCATCTGGGGTGTGGCCTGAGGCCTTCTCATTGCTTACTGTTCCTCACTTTGGAGGAGGGGGAGACAGAGACTATGAACACCAGGAAAGGACAAAAATGCATGCTGGCTCTTGGGATCATTTCTATTAAAAGTGTGTCTGCTTCCTTGCCGGAGGAAAACACAAGTGCTTCTCTCTGTCCACCTGGAGATACCTCAGTTATCTAAAAACAATGACCAACAAAACCACTGACATCTCCTCATGTTTGGTGTAGTGGTTAAGTGTGCGAACTCTCATCTGGGAGAACCGGGTTTGATTCCCCACTCCTCCACATGCAGCCGGCTGGGTGACCTTGGACCAATCACAGTTCTCTCAGAGCTGTTCTCTCAAGAGCAGTTTCTGTCAGAGCTCTCTCAGCCCCACCTACCTTACAGGGTGTCTGTTGTGGGGAGGGGAGGGGAAACTGCTCTGAGACACCTTTGGGTAGTGAAGGGTGGGGTATAGATCCAATCTCTTCTTCTCTTCAAGAGCAAGCCTCCAATTCATTTTTGCTCTGTGCTGTTTCTCTGATATGCAGCAATACTATGTTACACTAGGATTGCCAGCTTTGGATAGGGAAATTTCTGTAGATTTGGGGGTGGATACTAGGAAGGGTGGAGTTTTTTGGGGGGGAACTCATTGAGGATGTTATGCCATAGAGTCCACCCTCTGAAGCCGCCATTTTGTCCAGGGGAATGGGTCTCTGTAGTCTGGAGACCAGTTTTAATTTCAGGAGAATTCTAAAACCCACTTGGAGGTTGGCATTGGCAACCCTATATTATACACATGCTATGGGAACAGAGCAGTTGTTTTTCAGCTTAGGCCAATCCAGAGAGCAGTTCTAAATGACTAATTTATTGGCCATTTGGACTGAGTGCCTTCAGCCGGTTATTGCAGCACTTTCAATGGAAGCGGCTGATCTTGAATGTGAAACTGCTGTGCTCCAAATCACGCAGCACAGTGAGTCGGACTTGTCCCAGTGCAGCCATTTCCAGGGAAAAGTAACCCTGCCAAACATACCAAAGGGCCCCTATGAAGAGATACCAGGCTCTGTTTAATTTGAGTCAGGATTCAGGAGAGGAACCTGTTTTCCAGGTGTAATTTTCTGTTGAAGCACCTCGTTCCTTAGGCTTAAACTGTGAGGTAATGATTATATTGTTAGCAGCAACAAAAACCAAGGGAGTCTCGCCCAGTAGTAAATACTGTTATATTTCTTGAGGGATCATCTCACACTGTTTTAGAACAGAACAGAAATTAAACTTCTTTAGACTGTGCTGATTACCTTTACACCATGGGTTGAACAAAATATAGATACAGCTCTTCTCCGGTTGATAGATATTAGGCCCCGTTTTCACACTCAGCTGGTATTTCCCAACAATTGCATCTGCTGGGCTGGTCACAACAACCAGGCACTATAGGAAAGACAAGAGTAGTAAAGTAGCACCAGCAATAGGTCACCCAACTCTCAAATACAGGTCTAAGTTGGGCTTTAATAGAACATTTATCACATTCTATTTCATTTGTGATCTGTAGCGCAAAATCAATACAGCCAAACAGACACATTCTTCTAATCTGACTGGAAACGATAAAGTGAGTATCAGATGGGATATATCATAGCCCAGCGAGTTTCAAGCTACAAAGCATTTCAACAGGGGATACTGTTGGAAAGTATCTGGAACCTAATTTGAATGAGAGAAAGCTCTATGGCAGAGGTGTTGAACTTATTTATTTGTTACGAGGGCCAGATCTGACATAAATGTCTCTTTGTCGGGCCGGGCCATGCGTGCCATAAAATGTAACACGAGATACCAGAGATATAAACTTTATAAAGAACACAGGCAAACCCAATTAACAATATTATTTTTCACCCAAAATACAAACATGCTGAAAACATTCACACTCTTACAGTATCTCCTCAAAGTATCTCCCTGATGCCCACCCTCCCACTTCCACTGCCCATTACACATTAGCACTGGGACAGTATACAGCGACATAAAACACAGCCTCTGTCATCTGGCAATGAAAGTAATGACCAGTTGCTCACGGGCTGGATAAGAGCCCTGGATGGGCCAGTTCTGGCCCATGGGCTGTATGTTTGACACCCCTGCTATGGTTTTAAGAGGGAGGGGGTTTGATGCCCTGCACTGGTTTCCCGCCCCCTCCAAAATCAGCCCCTCCCTTCACTCTTCTTCACTGTTATTCATGGAGTCAACTATCACTTTTTTCTTCCTCTTCTCTCTCCTTATTACTATGTGTTAAAATGAAGCCTCCTAAGCTTTAGCCAGGATGTTGTTTAAATGGCTTTGTAAATAGTTATTATACATGAATACACGTGCCCTACAGAAATTTCTGCACATTGGATTAATTTAGACTCTGCTATTTATCTCTGGCCCATTCTGCATCTAGCCTTCGCTCAGTTGTTTTACCAAACCCACACTGGAACAGAAAAAGATGTGGCTCAAAACCACAAATAGCCCGGGCCAATGCTGTACTGACTTCAGAGTCACCCCTGAATGACCATAAAAGGGCCATAAATCTATGTGGACAGTACCATAAAACGAGAGATCAAAGGAAGTGAAACCAGCATGCAGTCTGGACACTGCCATAAAATCCGACAATCAATCAAAGTGAAAATGGCATGCAATGTAGGGCGGAATTTCTGTTCCACCGTGGGTTTGGTAAAACAGCGGAGCAAATGTTAGATGCAGAATGGGCCTCTAAGAAGGTGGAATACTCTGCACCTGGTGAGGGTTGGGGTATTACCCCAGCAAGAGGATTTCTTGTCCCTCACTAACAGATACCAGCCAACTAGAAGGAGAAAAATGAGAAGTGGTCAGATCAGATTTATAAAGACTGACTTATCTAATGCAGCAAACCCATCCAATACCGTCTCTATTCAACTCCATTCACATCCTCAACACTTTTCTAGTCTTTATCCATGGAAGATTCACACTCCTTTGTCCATCTCCAGCCTCCCAGCAACATCAGTACAAATTCTTGTCAACCATCAGGAGTGAATCACAGATAGCGACTGAGGATACAATCAGGTGAACTGGAAGTGAAATTGCTGTGCCCACCTTTGGGTGTTTCCTTGAATGCATGCACTAGACTGTCCATCATGTTTTTACCCACCCGCTCTCTAAGCAGTTCAGAGACGCACACACAATTCTTCCCTCCCACGTGGTATCCTCACAACAAGTGTGCGAGGTAGGCTAAGGAAGTGTCTGGCCTAAGTTCACCCGAGGAGCATCATGGCTGAATGGAGATTTGAACCTGAGTTTTCCCAGTCTTAGCATACACTTCATGCCACATTGGCTCACATGTACACTAGATTCCATAAGTTAAATTTACAAATCAGACCCCGTGACTTCCAAACCCAGTTGTCCCTCCCCCCCTCATTCCCTCCCTCCCAGGAGCTCAAGGCAGTGCACATCATTCCCCTCTCCACCAATGTATCCTCCTAGCAACCCTGTGATGTAGGTCTGCCTGAGAAAGAGTGACTGGCCCAAAGTCACCCAGAGAACTTGCCTGGCAGAGTGGAGATCTGAACTTGGTTTTCCCAGGTCCTAGTCTGACACACTAACAAGTCATACACCACACTGGTGTCAGATGATATCCCAGATGACATACCTCCTTTCCGTTGGTTTGACTGATGGTGGCACACCAGCGGTTAACTTGCTGTCCTGACCTTGCATTCAAGGACAAAAGAGTCCCACTTGATTGCTTTGGTTTTTCACCTGGAAGAATTTCATAAAGGGTAATAAGCTGCGGTGGCTCAAGTGGTTAAGACGCTGAACTGCAGGCTGTGGAAGGTCAGTAGTTCAGCAGTTCGAGACCCGAGTGTGCCGGACAATGGAGTGAGCTCCCGTCTCTAGTTCCAGCTCCTGCCAACCTAACAGTTCGAAAGCAAGGAATTGCAAGTAGATAAATAGGTACCACTTCGGTGGGAAGGTAACAGCGTTCCGTGCGCCTTGGTGTTTAGTCACGCCGGCCACATGACCATGGAAACGTCTTCAGACAGCGCTGGCTCTTCGGCTTTGAAACAGAGATGAGCACCGCAACCCTAGAGTCGGATTCGACTGGCTTTCAAGCAAGGGAACCTTTACCTTTTAATATGACAGCATGCCAGGGAATGGCAGGGGAGAAGCCTGCATCTGCAGTGTCTATTTTTGATGGGTACTCTAGCACATATATTACCAGCAGCTGCTTCCCATTGGGTGGAAACAGCAGGTCCCCATGAGTGAGTGTGTGTGTGTGTGTGTGTGTGTGTGTGTGTGACAGAGAACAGCGTCTCTCAAGAGTCAGATACTGAGAGGCTATGAGAATGTGCTCACAGAAGAATGGTTGCATTAGTCCCAATAGTGAAATATATTCAGTTGTCCATTTAGCAAAAAAACCTAGCATCTGGTGTAAAAATCGCAAGACTCTCGCTAAAACAACATGGGGGGGAAATCAACCTTCTAGCCCTTGTGGTGGTGGTGGTGGTGGTGGAGGAGGAGGAGGAGGAGGAGGAGTAGAAGAAGAAGAAGTCTGCTGAGAACCCCCCTTGGGATTTGTTGAGTTTCCCTCCCTGTAGAGAGGGAATAAGATGTAGTAATGTAGTATTAACACATTGTTAGACAGCTTTACCCTAGTTTGTGCCTGGATGATAAACTATCTGCAAGCCCCATCATGTACATAATGAGATTATGAACAATAATAATACTAATAATAAGTAGTAATAAAGTAATAAGTAATAATAAATACTACTACTACTTTCACCACCCTAGTCTGTGCCTGGATGGTAAACTGTCTGCAAGCACCATCATGTATATAATGGGATTGTGAGCAATAAACTGCTGAAATATATACCCTGTTTTTATTTCTCTGTTCCATATTGGCTCATCATTTCTCTTT